CGAACTTTTGCAAAATCTGAGTAGGAGCATATGAATCCATTCGCGCATCCTCTTAAATAGCGTGGAACAGATTTCCACTTTATGATTTCGCCAGTGTGTATGGACTGACTCGGTGCGAAGCAAGAGAAGCACATGCATAGCTTTAGATCCAAGCTTAGCGAAGGGAAAGAGTCACAGGATCAGAACAACGAACGACCCATCTTATCTCAGGATGCCTCTCAACTGCAAGACACTCCTCCTTCCTCTTTTCTTGCTCCTTCCTTCTTTTCTTCCTTTTCTTCTCTGTTTCTTCCTCATTTCCCACCCCTATTCGAATGCTCGACCACTGGATGCCATGCGGAAAATATCTTTAGACTTTCTCAGCGAGAGAACGTGGTTGACGGAAGCCTTGTAACCCTATCCATCTTCCGCAAAACCAGACCAGATGATGCCTCCGAAAGCCCGCAGCGAGGATAAACTTGGGATGGCAGATGCTCTATTAGAAGCTAAAGGATAAAGCTCCTACCTTTGATCCAACCCTTCTCGGTTGCGGCACGCATTCTACTTCCACTGAGAATCGCAGTGGCATTTTGAGTTGCGTTATAGCCCATGCAATGACTTGCGAGGCCGGTAAGTCAGCTTTTATATCCTCCCCATACTAATCTGGTACCAATTTACTGTCCCGTGAGATAGAAGCTACTATGGTCTGTAGTTTAGTTTATAACCTTGTCAGGTATGTAAGGTGTCCTTGATTGCGTTTTCGCTTATAAAGTAACTTGGAAACAGAAATTTATTTTCACAACTCACTTATCTGTCACACATAAACTGACGAGCTCTGAATGCATCAGTTCACTCTTCATGCGTAGCTTCCGCTTGCGCACTTCATATGCCGCGAGGGTACCATCCGACGATGCCGACAACAAATTATGACGGCTGTCGATCCTCAGTGCGTTCACATCCTTGAAAAAGAAACCGCGTCAGTTACAGGATGACTTTAAAGTCATTTACTTTTGATCGAAGAACTCAAGAAGTAAAGATTGATGCATAAACGACATCTTACCGCCTCTTGTTCTTTCCATGAACAGATCATTGGAGACGTTGCTCGAAAATCCCAGGTACGTACCTGTACATTATCATGTTTTGTTTTCCAAACTCAGGGAAATATTATAAATGAGAAAGGGCAACAATGTGAAACATACTTATATCCAAACTAAGCACCTCGCCTGACTCATCTCCAGTAGCGAACTGCTGAAATTTACTGGCGTTTGGTTGTAGCAGGCAAATGGACGTCGGTCTGTCATCATGTCCTCGCACAAGGCATCGCTTCCTATAGCAATACAGTATCTTTTCGCGAGATTTGAACTATGAGACAGTCAGGGCACATGAACTAACACAGCCTAACTGTGCTCAAAAGGGCCACAACCGCAACAGCAACTTCAACCCGCTACAACTCTCCACCCCCTTCGCATTTTAAATCGCCCGTTTAGCCATAGGTTTATCTTCATTATCATCCACCACATTGGTATCACAATCGCTCGCCTCATAGACCGCTCTACAGTAAATCTGGAACTGTTCACATTTTTCGTCGCACAAGGGAATAGGGGAGCCCGCAAAATTGTTGGACAAGTATTTGGCAAAGCGCAGAAGCGTGACATCTGCAGTGCAATCCGTCAAACACATGTGAATTGGAAGAATTAAGGGAGGAAGGGAAAAAGAGGCAGTCGATCAGAGGATCAGCTATTCTCCCTTATCAAAACCGATCGTCTTATTGCACAGTTAGGCAGAACCAGTTGAATCGATACGTATCTAAGGCTGCCTTTCACGATGATGCGCGTCGAGGAACGCGGCCATAGAAGGGTATTATGGGGCCGATCGCTAGTGCTTTGGGAGGGTACAGGAGAGTAGGGGCGTACCACTGTGCCAATGCTTTGGAAATCAGACCGTGTATTGGTTCTCCTACTGGTATACTCTCCAGAACACTAACGCATAGCTTGATACTCTTTATGCGCCTAACTCTCCAAAAAAGTGGCAGCCGGCGACGATCGGAACCACTCTCTGGCTGCGTTCCCGTCTGTAGCCTGGAGCGCCGGCGCGATGGTAGCTACGGCTATGACGCGCGTCGTGAGGCATAATCGCAAAGTGTGGACGCATTCTTATCCTTTTCGAGAATTCTGCCATTCCCTGAGGTCTTGAGCAGTGAGGAGCGTCCCGACTGATGAAAAATTAAACTGAATCGTGTACCTTCTTCCCGTTTCAACATCGAAACATGACAATCCCCTATTGCTCGTGATAGCGTAGACTTCTGATTGATCTTGATTGAATATCACTCCTCGCACGCTTGCTTTTGTCTTGAATTTCCATTGAGTCTGCAAAATGTCATGTAAGAGTTCAGGTAACCGAAGAGAAGCACTTTCATTGCCGACAGATTTAGCACGTCTCTGATGCTCCATATCTTGTAAGGTTGGCGCTAGCATGGTGGGGAGGGGAGGGGAGGGTGCAATCTCATCAGCGAAGGCCAAGGCTTAAAGCTTCAGAACAGACAGCCTCTACACTCCGGTCGTCTGCGTACCAAGTCTAAGCCTGGGATAGGGGGAAAGGATACAGAAGCGCTGTGGAGCGCCCCACCCCCTTCCTCCTTGAAATACGTGAGAAATATAATACCTAAGGGCGCATTCAGAGTTCGTGATCCAATCGCGCGGCCAAATGCTCGAGCGCTGCGTTCGCGGAGTCTGAATTCTACCTCCTACCTCGGTCATTTCGCTTACCTTCCCGCCGGTAGACATTATTTATCAGGCAAAACAAAAACTGGACGAGAAAAGTTTACCTTCAGAGATTTCTTGAGGAGATCGTAAGTAGCGTATTGCACTATGCCGTCCACAAATCCCACGACAATATTGCGTTCGTCGGCAGTAAAACAAGTAGGAGGAGACAAAAATACCTCTTCCATACTAACTATAACGATAAAAGGTGGCTTAGTTATGTATGTAGCACGGGGACAAATCAGTACAACGGATTAAGGAGTTCAATAGAATGGAATGACAAGTGTTCATAAGATTATGGAAACCACGGAAAATGATGAGGTGATAAACATAGAACTAATTCATCCAAATATTTTGCAAATCACAGAAACTTTATTTTCGAACGGAGCTGTCGAGAGAGACCCTCCAAAAGTAAAAGGCGCTCATTCTAACTAGATTTGAATTACCAGCAAATGCTACTAGAAAAGTTCTCCGCAGCAACTCGTAATTGAAATAATTCGCTCAACAAGGAACCGATAACCAAACGACGAACACAGATAAGTCTCTCCTTAAAATATTAGCCTCGAACGAACAACACCAAAATGAAAGGAGAACATGCCGTGTGGTGTCCTGCTGTGTCCGCAACTTGCACAAATCTCTACTATGAAGAAGTGCCAGCTGCGAGCCTCTTATTTCCCTCTCCTACACTTCTTCTTTTTATGTTCCATCTGAAGGTATTGAGGAGATGCCTTGAGACACCGGCTGCGAGAGAACCATCGGCCTGTAAGGCGACCATGAAACTGCTAGAATGAGAAAAAAAAGGCGGCGAAACGGTAGAACTAGACGCCATGGACATTCAGAACAGGGCACAGCATTAGTTGGGATTTTGCTCGAGCCTGTACGACCCCTCCCCCTTTTTTTGGGAGTTGCTACGACCCTCCCCCAGCCCTCTGTCCTTCCTCATCGAATCGAGCCGCCGAGCGGTGCGGGGGGGTCTTTTCCAACCCAAATACGACCCCCCCCATTGGGAATCCCCAGGCAACGAATGTGTCCTCATTAAGCGTTAACGTGAGCACTGTTAAGGGGAGATGACAAGTGGTTTCGAATAGTTTGCCCCCCTCCGCGCGAGGCGATGGGCGCGGCGTTTTCCCAATTCGTGTTAGCCTGTCGCTTGGAGCACCAGATTTGTGGGCTACGAAACTGTGGACAGTTATGACTATTCCCGGTTCTACATTACCTGTTGTCGCCATCTACGACCTGGAACCATCGTCGTCGCACGCGACGCCCGTCCGCGCGGCGATTTACGATTCTCTTATCACGTACCCTTGGTAGAATGCGTCACAATCCGTGATTTAGTCGCTCCAATCGCGCGATAAATCCTGGTCGCAGTATAATCACGCGGACTGGCAGCCACCGACTCACGAAGTATGAACGTTTTTACAAATGCAAATCACTTCTCGAAGGAAAAGGGGTTCTGAACTGGCACCTACACACCCTCGTAAAAACACAGTTAGACCGCCTCTACACAAAACGACTTTGAGGAATCAGCGAAACTGCGGAATTGGAAAGGGGGGAATCGCGGAGTCCAGGGGATCACAGACGAAATCGTTGCGTATCTTCGTTAACACTGAGTCAGTCCCCTCCCCCCGCGGGAGTAGTCAGCACGGCTGTGCGTTCACCGCGCTGCGCCAGCCTTTTCCCAACACTCACTGAGCGCACCATGAATCGACAGATTGGTCGATGAAGAATGGGTTCGCGCTAAGCCAAATTTATGCCCTCTCACACGCCCCGACCGACTTCAATGTAACGGCTGCATATCCTTTCCGCAACTCTCAGAAACGCTTAGAATGTGGGACTACTCATCGATTCTTCCTTTTCCACAATTCCGTTACTTCCTTAGGCGATTTCTTCCTCCACGGGCTTGCGCAAAATGCTCATGACATCACATAATGCGGCGTAACACATAAAAATTATAGCGAAGCTGGGACGGACCAATGAAAAAAGCCAAAAAAGTATTCAGTAGTAGTACTTTATCGTTCTTCATTTTACTGTGAATGCTTACGTTTTCAAATTTACAGAATACTTCGTGAAAGCACTAAATCTCCAAAAATTAGTGAACACTTTCGGAGGTGCTACTGAACAGTACCAGTTAGTCTAAGCTTCCTAAATGACTTTAATTGATATACACATGAGCAGCATCGAAATAACATAAATCATTCAGCAAATTTCCATGCATACGTACAAGTTTGAGCAAAAATCTGGTTATCATAAGAGCATTTGAAATCAGTCTTCATCCGAATCAATAACAAGTCTATTTTTCTTCTTCTGTGAAATAATGGGAGATACAGGAGCAGGTTCTTCGTCTCGGTTCTCCGCAGAATCGACCTCTTCAGTATTGTCCTCTTCATCAGAACTAGTTATCACTCGCTTCCTCTTGACAGGTTTCTGAAGAAGAGGATTTTTAGAGGGATCAAGGGCCGTGCCGTGATTGTGTTATTGTTTTTCGTGACCGCTAGTAGCACATTTCCTAGCATACAGTCTTGTTCTCCTCGGATGCTGAATAGTGTCACCGGAGGGGGGGGGGGGTAGTTTGGCGCTGCGTCAACCATTTCTCTACCAGTTGTAAAAGACAGCAAGCGATGTTGATTGATGGAAAACGGGTTGCCGTCGTAACATACCTCCCCCCCCCCAACACACCACAGCATCCGCAGCTAACAAGACAGCATGCGGAAAATTAGAAGCAAATAGGAAAAGGAAGGAAATACAGTCGATAACTGACCACATGGCCCACGTTTCTGCCAGAAGATGTCGCAATCACGTCGCCTCCTTCAGTATCGGACTTCCCACTCGGCGCAGCTATAGCGACTTCGTCGACATCAGGCTCTTTTCTATGGTGTGCGGGTTCACTATCCCTTTCAGACACCGTAGCCTCATTTTTATCAAGATGGTCCTGAAACGTGATTGAGTCTCATCCTAGTTCACTATTCTGTCTTCTGATAAATGAGTGACGCGAAACATTACGACTGAAGTTTCAAAGGCACATTTGACGCTGATTGAGGGCGGACACAGAGAGCGTCCGCTCTCAGTCATCTCAATGAATGACGCGTCTCCATTTACCGCCTGAGAAAAAGCGGTTTGGATGAATGGAATTCACAACATTCCAGGCGATCTTATATTCAACAATTTTCCTAGATCTTCAAGATTCAGTAATGCACCGCTTCAAAGGCATATTCCTTTACAGTCAAATAGGCGGAGAAATGGGCAGACCATCGTGCTTTCTCCATTGGGGCACAACCTCCCATTACAGTAAAAGAAGGAGTGGCGTATCAAAGGAGCCTTAAGAGTTCCATAGCTCCACTCAGCTTGTTATCGCGAGTTATGCTTCTAACTAAAGATTGAGAAGCACCGGTAACTTACCTGTTCCTCTTCAAGCTCCAAATCCGCATCACTTCTACCACTATCTCGTCTTGGCCTTCGAGCGGTTCTTTTTCTGCCGCTTGAAATTGGGCTTCCAGGCTCAATGTCATCGTCAACTTCACTACCACTTGGACTTGCACTCCTGGACTTCAATCTCTTGAAAACGAACGTCACATCTATTATCCAAACCCTCCTTGATACGAGCTCATGTGCACTTTCAATACATGAGTGCTTCACATGGTTGACTGTCCCGTCCTTCTTCTCCTTCTCTGGTTCAGAGCCAGCCCCACAGTGCTACAAGCTCCCTGCTCAGACCTGCCGTCTCGGTCTTCCTTCTCAACTCGAACCTTCCGCCATACAATAATCACCAGATCCACTTAAGATTGTACGATTTGAGCAAAATTATCCTATAACAAATAACCCAATGAGATGTTGAACTAGTCCATTTCATTGAACCGCAACATTCAAAATGTTCAGATCAGAATCGAAATGGGTACATACCAAGCTCACGATCTTCTGCCACTCCAGTCATATACTGTCTTGAGAGCAGAAGCTCAACCCCGTAGACCCATCCGACCACTTGATGACTCTTCTGTCCTGAAAAGTCTTAAGCGATCCGTTAAGGAACCAGCACAAGACATGTGTAGCTAATGAGACTTTACGGATCTACGACTGGAAACTCCGCGCAGTACTGTGTGTAGTTCGCTGCAGACGCTTGGAGCGTGTCAGGCGGTACTGAGTTGCGCGCCAGGTGCGCAAGCCCATTCTCCCATCCAGCTGTTAAGAAGCGGGCAAACGATCAAGACCCGTATCATATCGTCCGTATAACCCGTTTCTACCGGCTGGTTGTCAATGCATGCCTTCAAGCGAAGGCTAGGACGGCCTTCAACGAGTGAGCACCACTCATACTGCCTGACCACGCCCAAACCGTCCGCATGTTGAAGCTAGAGTCCATTAGAATTGGCTATGCCTTTGAGACTCCAGACAACGTCGGCACCGAGCTCATTACTTTAAACTTGCCTAGTCACCAAACCCCGCCTAAGAAACATAGTACCACAGGGGTTTTTAACATCGTGATTACACATTACCCACACTCATTCTTGGCCTGGCGCCAAGACGATGACAACTACGAGTTATCTCGCCGGGCTCACGACTTAGACAGAGCGCAGAATTAATCGTCGTCAGTGACACTCCATTAGGATGAATGTCATATTCGTAATCAGAATGTTGAACATACCCTTGATACTACCAAATTTTTAAGCGGATTTGGTTGACTTATCATGAATTTAAAAAATGAGCTCGGATGACCCGAAAATTGCTGGGAGTCAAAACGGCATTGCCTTCAGATTGTTGTGGTCAACATGCACACTCTCACGCTAATTTCATGGGCGAGTTCACTGGAAAACTTGCGCCCTCTCGCTGGCGGGCCACACGTTGGCAGCATCTAGCGGAAGCGACAACAAGCCAATGCAGAGAGGGCGCTGCGGACCACGGTACCCCGACCCATGAATCTTCCTAGTAACCCCGCCCATGATCTCTGTAACTCTAACAGCGGAAGTACGGAAGAGCAAAAGTGCACGCAGCTCCACTGGTGTTCATCAAGAAAACATGCATCACAATCGACCCACGTTAACCCTTTCTTTAGTTTGAAACAAATAAAAAGATCAAAAAAAGTATTACACTGGCTTCTTTTTCTCGTAAACAATTCCCAGATAACTGATCTGCTTGATAATCTTCTGCCTAGAGAATTCACCATGGGTTTCAGCCAAGTTGGTGCGTATGAAGTCAACCATGTCTTCTGGAAAGCTCAGTAATATTTCATATTGTAGAGATTCAATAAAAAACCTCACCATTTTTCTCTGGCAACGCATTGTACTGCTCAATAAGCTCCTTTGCTCTAATAATCGGGAAATTGCGATCCATTATCGATCTGAACTAACATAGTGAACGAGCTTCCTTTCACTGGCCCAAAGAGGTTCAGCTCAATGTTCGATTCCCGCGTGGGGTCTGAATCTTGCCTAACTCAGCAGTCTTGTAAAATCTGCCAGCCAACGTCATGCGCTGCTTCGCTGCCGATTATCTTTCAACAACAGGTTTTCTGGGCTCCCTTGCATGACTTTTTCTTGACAACTGGATGATGTGAAGCTCTTTTCAGTCTTTGGTTTCGCTGACGACTTTTCAGGCCGATGTGAGGCCAAAAATGCAGTCAACAAATAATGACTGAAATGAGCTTCATTTCAATCAATTGACAAAGCTGCCGATCCCAATAAATAATGAATAGTGACTCAAAATAGAACCTACCCTTTATTAGCTTTTGCTCCAAGCGGATCTAGAGCGAACTCCTTCATCTTCTTCAGAATCTGTTTACGAGTCCGCGGGCGACTAAGATTTGGCTCGATAAAATCAAGCACGTCCATTCCTGAAAAAGAAGAACAATGTCTATTTCTAAAAAAACAATGAAGAACTAATTCATACCTTCAGGTCTCTCATCCATGTCCCGGTATTCGTTATAAAGTGAACGGAGCTCATTCTCCAGTTCTTCACTCCATGAATAAGCGTCTTTTTGATTCTTCGATTCTCTTCAAAGAAACCGTTCTCCATGTAAAGTCACAAATAAAGGATCAGCCATATGACGTTAGTCCAACCAATAACCCACTCCTCGCTCACTCGTAACCCGCTCCCGTTCTCAATTTCATAACATTCCTTGGGACCTTTCCAGAAAAGAATCTCGGGCGCAAGCTTCTCTCCACACTTTTCATAGCACAAGAAGAAGCTTAAACACCATTAAATTGTATCCAATCACAAATGAAGGTTATACTGAGGAACAAATGAAAACTGACCGTTTCAGCAGATGATAGCCGAAACTGTACAACTCAAATAGTGGATGTCTCTTCATTTCCTCCAGTGTTAAGCCTTCCAAACGTTCGTTCACCTCGGCGAAAATTCGAAACAAGGACAACTAAAAGTCAATCATGAGTTCAGGAAAAGTATTTCACGATGAATCATACGACATATTCCACAATGAAAGATGGAGATGGTATTCAACAACCCAGTTGCTCACCTCATTGTCGCGCTTCCTCCTGTTTATCATAATAAGAAGGCTAACTCTGCAGAAAAGCCGCAATATTATCCGACTCCGCCGAGCGTCTGCCATCGGGCACCTTGATGGATCCCCGTCCTTGCTGTGCGGGGTGCATTGGCCTGCGGCTGCAATACCGCCCCACTTTCTTCAGCCAAAAGTGTACGGAAATCAGGCTGCAGGCAGTGATGACCTGTGTTGCCATCCCTTACCCCGCCCGCCCTCCTGTAGTCTAGGTACACGCCTCTCCCATAGCCAGGACGCGCTCTCGCTGACACTCCTCACCGTGCGCGCTTGTTCGCCTACCACTACGGGCTGTTTCGTTCGACCATGCACTGATGCAAGTGGGATGCGCGCAGACCGGAGTCCGGCGCTCAGCCATTACCGGCCTTCCTAGTCCTGTTCCCGTGCCACTTTCTGAGCAGGAAGTGAACGCTAGTGGCATCGCTACCATTGAACCTCGGAACGCCCGAAAGAAAGTGAGTGTACAGTCTGTCTTTTGAGGATTGTGAACTCACCTATAGAGACGACTGGCATCTTCAAGTCAAAAGCCACGCGATGAAGAAGCTTCAGTAAAGCCATATTCACTTCGACAGAATTGCTGTCAAAATCATTCAGCAAGAAAACATACCTAAAATTACAGAGACAAGTCTCTTAGCATACAACTTGATTCTGTATCACGCGTCAACGGAAGGGACTAGACTGCACGTCAGTTCGGAAATAGCAATACGTTGTGTGAAACACACGGGGGGGGTCGTATTTGGTCGTTGTTGGGAGAGGGAGGGGTTGTATGTGTCTTCGGGAGAAATTTACCGTGCATGTGTGTGTTATACCCTCAACCCCTCCGGAAAACCTCTGAGTGAAAAACTGAAAATGAGGGAAACTGGGGGTAAGTAGGTGCTCAGGAAGGGAGGCGGGAGGGGGAGTGGGTCGTATCATGACAATCTCCTCGAGAGGAGGGGGTCATACTGGCACCACCATCTCACACATCACGATGCTGTAACCTGCGACGAGATCCTGACGTGAATGCCGCGCGAGTGACCTCACTTGCAACGCCTTCTTTAGTTTCACCGCTACATGGGTCTTTCAAAGGACACCCGCCACAATATATTGGGATTCCACTAAAACTCAGAAAAGCTAAATGGCCAACCCCGTTTTGATATAAGGTGAGTTGGCCAATCCCGTTTTGATATGAGGTGAGCATTCTGCTTCTATTGGAGTGTAGTTACATTTTGTAGGCTTGTTTGGCCAGCGCGAGAGACGGGATCCGAATCGGAGGACCGCACGCCTGGTAAGTAGCGGCACTTTTCACTGAACCACCCATAAAGTTTCAACCTAATAAACAAGGAACCTGTTGAAAACAAACAACTGACCACCGCAAAACATCGGTCCGAGCATAAAAGGCGACGTATTCTTCAAGATCGAATTTCACCTAAGAAGTAAACGTTATGGAACAAGAGCAGGACAGGGGGAAGGACAAGGAACTAGGGAGTTTCCTCACCTCCTTGGTCTCGTATCTAGCTTCTTCTTCTTCGTCGCTAGTATACGGGTCCTCCTCATTCCCGTCGTCTATCATGGAGTCAGCAGTGAACTTCTTTTGAGCGGCTTTCTCAGCTTTAAGGAGTTCATCGGCTACCTATAGAGGCAATTCCTTTCCAATCAAGAACAAAGAATCACAAGTGCTCTCACCTCCTTCAAATCGGTGAAGAATATGTCACGGATTTCCTCAAGCTGCTTATCAGCACTGTTGCCAGGATCTCCAAAAATGCCTGAAGAAAATGCCTGATTCGCTAGCATGTTGCAGCAATTTTGGCCAGTAGATTCATCACAGAAATGCTAAGTTGGGTACTAAAGACGAGACATCGGGATGGATTCGCCCATTAAACCCAGTGGGTCCAAGGCGGCCCTGATGATCTGATTGTGAGCACGATATCCCGGAAAGCAAGGACTGCAGGTTGGAATCTTACCCGGAGCCCATAACAAAGCATTCCTGTGACAAAGCATGAGCTGCGGCGAGAAACATCACAATAAAACTCAAAAAAATGACGCACCATCATCCGGCCACATGGCTCTCGAGGCACGATAAAGCCCCATGGCATCCTTGGCACGACATTCACGCAGAGCTCGTTGGATTTTCAACATAGCGAATTTTCTGAAAACAACAAAGGACGAAGTAATCAAATAGCCCTCGCTGCACTTCAACAAGTGTCCACCAACTGATTCTGCTCTTCTTGAACATCCAAAAGTGTGTTGACGGGGAACTGATCGGCTGAAGGCTCCACATTGCCCAGAATGATGTCTTTAATCTCATCGGTGATTTGAGTCCACTTCTTCTCCAAATCTTCCGCGTCCATATCATCCACTACGGCTGGTAGCGGCTCAGGGCCAAATGCATCCGCTAAAAAAACATGGGAATAAGGTCTCAGGATGAAGCTGGAGGAATTTCACGGCACAAACCTGCCGTCTTTTTTCTTCGGGCAGTAGCGCGCCTAATTTTGCTTCTTTTCGTCACTGTCGTGAGCTGTCCTGCCTTTACACTCCGCTCAAGAAGATGGAAGTAGTAGTGAATTGCTAGGACCAGTTCTCGCAAGAAGGTTTTCGATAGGAAACTGGGCTAGAAACGACCACTCATTTTCATTTTACTTTTCATTGAGCAATGTCAATAAATCTACTCAGAAAAAAATTGATCTTACAAGCCTGATGACTGCAAAGCATCGCGAACTATTTCCCTGGAACCAGAACGTTCCGAGGAACTTATAACTTTTCGAGTCGGCTAAAATAATTCATCGGAAGACTAGGGCCGCGATCATACTTGCCAACTTGAGCGACCGGTTCGCGCGACTCAAGACTGCGACTGACCGCGTTCCACCGCCAATCGTTCAACAGCTGTAAAGTTCAACACAAGCTTCGACTGAAGCAGTTAGATTAGCAGTTGCGTCGATCTAACGAGCCGTGGCGCGTGGTCAGCCGCACTCCGACTGCGACACAGCGCGACTGAATTGCTCGAGTCGCGAAGAATGAGCATTGCATAAGATTACTGCTAGAAGTTTTGCGATTCCGGAGAACGGCTAATGAGGGAACTTATCAGTCTGAAGAATCAGCGATTGTGGAGAATCGAGACAAAGAGACATATGGTAATCAACAGAGTTCGCCCGAGAGAAAAGCGTACGTTCACCGAATCGCGCATCTTCCGTGCTTGTGGACTGCTCACCTCCGAGAAGTATGAACGCACCCCGAATGGAACTATAAATACGGCTGCAGAAATACAAGCCGTGTGCTAGAAGTAGGGAGACTGCAGCTGCGTACTTCATGCGAACGCGGTGGCGACTGGTCTTCTGGTGGGATACTGCCCTTTTGGGACAAACACAGTGATGTCTATGCTCATCGTAAGCCAGCAAGAGTGCTGTCTTAGAGGGGAGGTTCAGAGAAAAAACACTGTGTACGTCATGTTCAGATGAATGTGCAGCCACACCCTCCCCATCTCTGGGTTATGGAGTGTAATGTTGAAGTTAAAAACAAGTTAAAAGTTTAGTTAAAAGTTTAAAACAGTTAAAAAAATGAAGAGTTCAACATAGCAATTACCTTGTACTTTCTGATGAGCACAAATCCCATTTCCCGATATTCTTCAACAGTTAGGATATGGAAGCATGTTCGTTTTGCGAAATCTTTTTCCTCTTTGGATCCCTTATCGAGAAGGTGAAGATGGCTGAAAAGTTGACCCATTTGTATCCGTACTGTTTTTGACACAAAAATGGCTTTATTGCAGTTGGGAGGGTCTATGCTGGGACAGAACCAAATTCGCTTTTGTGCCCTCTTAAGCGGGCAGTATTCCTTTCCCTTCCGAACTTAGCGGTAGAAGGACGCAGATGACAAAAGTCTCTGCGGTTTAGCCTGAAGGCGCAAAAGGGAGAACCTGGTCGCGCCACCATGGCAGCGCCACAATGTCGCGAAACGATAAAACAAGGAACTCACAACAGAATTAGCTCCTTGTAGGCCGACAAAGCATGCTGCGCACGTAGACCATAACTCTTGGCCTCCTTCTGCAAGGTTGCCGCACTTTCGAGGTAATTATCAAGGTGCACTTGGATGTGATGAAAAGATTCAACAGGAAGACATGAAGATACCTAAAAATGTTGAAAATATCTTCAGTCTGGCATTTGAGAATTCCGCAATTTTTGGGTGGGTGGAGACTCATAACCATCGTGCCTTGCTTACTGGAGCATCTTTCCTCTTTATCATGCTGAGAGTAGGGGGGGGGAACCAGCGATGAAGGCACAATGGTTATGAGTCTCCGCCCATCGGTTCATCACGGAATGAACTTTCGGAGGGAATCCTCATACATTTGAGGAGGGAAGCTTGGCTAAACGTGTGTACTCAAGTGTGAAACGCATCAGTAAAAAGAAGTACATATCAGCGTTCCGCTGGCCAGCGGAGAAGGCGGGTGTCGAAGGCCTGAAAAGTGAGAACACGTCAGGTTATGTCCAAAGATGGAGATGAGCATAAAAACACTTACCATTTCTTTAGTACTCTTCATCAAACGGTTGAAACACGTTAGTAGGTCTTCTTCAAGAAACTTCTTCAGCTTTATTCGAAGATCCATTGAGGATAGATGTGTTTTCAGCTCAGCATTGAAAGGTCTAAAATGGCTCTGATATAAGGACTGAATAGAGAACGTATGTATGTGACAGGACAATCGAAATATGCCGCGCTGGTAAGCGCGGCAAGCGACGCCGCGTCCGACGAACAAGTTGCCCTGCCCGGCTTTTCAGATTTGTGCGCTTGAGAGATGAGAAATTTACATCTTCCGTCATGAAGTCTTGCCCCTACTTGGATTCCTAGGAGTTCTGTGGTTCCAATCGATGAACTGATGCGTACCGGAATTCGCCGCACATGATCGCACAACTCGCTGCGCGCGACGACGCAGCAAATTACGATTGTCTCGTCTTCCTAAAAACTTTGATAAAATTACCGTCTATTCTTCGGAATAGCCTTCTGATTTTTGCGCTCAGCTTGAAACGACAAGTCACTCACATCATTTATTGGCCTAAATAGATTGTTAAAAATAAACTATTGCCCCACTAAGTATAAGTGTACTTACTTGAAAACAAGGAGGTCTTTGTCCTTGTTGACACCAGACAATCCTTTAACGACGTACGTACCATGAAACCTAGATTACTAACACTTAGATGGGAAAGTTGAACACGAATGTTTCCAGCAACCACTTGGATGTTCCCTAGAACCTAGCGTGAAATATGCAGCTCCAGTTGTCGTTCACGACGCGTAAGTCAATAGGATATTGGTACCTAACCCAGCGGAGGAGATTTCCAAACCTATAGACTAGACCATACTCTGTCATGATTATTGATCGATTATTTTAAGTTTTGAATGTTCACTTCTGCGACCTACAATGTTGACCAGTCTTGCGCGCTCTGTATGAGGGGCGTGGCAGGCGGGATACGCTTGGCGCGGCGCTAAACCCTGTCTCCACCAGATGCCAAAGTGGGTAAGCGACAACAATTAGTGGAAAACAACCGACACGAACAAAAATATACAGTCTTGTCGCTTGCTCCCTTCTACAACAAGGGGGAAACGGGTGTGGGGACGCGCCAACCCGTTCCGCCTGACACGCATCTTTATTCGCCGCGAGCAAGAGTATATTTAATTTGATTATTAAACGTACGCATGAGTGTGCCAAAATGAAAAGTGGGACGCTGGTGCGGATCCAACTACTTGCCCTCATCAATTTTCTGCTCTTGTCTGCGCTCTCTGGTCTACGTGAACATTACGCGAGCTTCTGTGACTACTGCAAACTCACACATTTCAGCTTTTCCCGTATCATGAAATGCTCACCCAACCCTTAGAAATTCGACCCCCGGTTAGCGATCCATTTTTTTGCATGTCTCGATGTTTTGGCAGACGCTATCTGTCTCCGCTAGCGTTTCGCCACTGGATCACGCAAAGAGTACAAGTAATCTTGTAGGATTGGTTACAATTATCCCACGCGTCTCCGACAACTCCACAAAAATGTGACCTCAGATCAGTGGAAAACAAATTTTTCTGGAAGGCGTACCTCGAATGTCTGCTTGACAGTATCTTTCTATCCTTT